CTTTCACTGGACAGACACACAGAGGTGACAAAAATGTTCATTTATTTCAATTAACCAGAAGGGGGCGACTCCTCTGGTTGCAAAAAGAAGTCTGATTGTACGGCAGTCTATAGGAAGTGAATCTTATCTCACTTGATTTTTTACATCAATGAAAATTCCTAATGAGTTTATGGTCTCAATTACTAGTTTCAAGTCTCCTTCAATACAGCAAGATGTTCATTTTGTAAATTGTGGTCGCATTGAGAGTAAAACAGACACTAAAGCATGCTTGTAAATGACTAGTCACTACTGTACGGTCAATTGTATGTCCTTCAGTTCTCAGTCAGATACATTGCTCACTCGTCAGTCCAAACCACACGTTGATGACCTTCAAACTTCAAAGTAGTGTTGAACCCAATTTTAAGCATGTTGTGACAGAATTAATTTTAAACAATCTTTTTGCATCACATTTCTTGTCATCTCAGAGTTTGAATTCTATAAATTGACCTCTCTATGCACATTTTCTCCTTCTCCTTGAGTTTCATGAGCTTGGATGCATCTCCTGCTTTCTTGCTTTATGCTTTTTCCTAAAATGCATGACTTTGTGTGTTAACTGTCACATGTGGATGCATATCATTCCTCTTTTTCTTTCTTTCAAATACAAGCAAATATTCACCCATGGGTACAATATAAGGAAACGGCTGCTGCGTTGATCATTAAGATGTCTCTGTTTTATAACTCTCTTTGACTGAGGGCACTGGTCCAGTAACCACTGAGTACTGGAAACAAGCTGAGCTCAGCAGGAGAAGGTCACTCCCCTCTGAAGCCAGAGCATCTTACATGCGAAGGCCGAGCTAGTGGTTCAGTAGAAGCACTCAGAGGCAGTTTGTTATTGCTGATCATATGAAGAGAGAAAGGGAAGGAGAGCAAAGTAATGGTGTGGGGCTGTAGAGAGTGAAGGGGATGATGGATGGATGAGATGGACGCATAATGAGCTAAAACAATTAAAGATTTAACCAGGCAGGTTAGACAAGATCGATATTATGTGAAAAAGGGAGGTTAAAGGGATGAAATGGGGGGGAAGAGTGCATTCTAAACAGCTGAACAAGTGATTGACAGAAAAGGAAATGCCTCATAGGAGCGAGCAGGAGCGTAGCCAGAGGTAAAACGGGGAGCGGATTGAGGGACGAAGAGAAAAGATGGGGAGGGGACATTTGTGCTGGACAAAGAGGATCTCTGTCAATGGATGGGGTCTGATTTCATGTGTGTGTGTGTGAGTTGGAGGGTAAAATATAGCTGGGGAGAGACAGACAAGCCATGGTGGCAGTGGTGTGGATGTGGCCTGTGTATCTGTGTTTGTCTACATAGTATTGAAGAGGGCGGGAAGCAACTTGATATGTTCTAGTAATTCATCTCCAGCCTGTTTGTGTGTAATCTGTTTATTAGACGCTTCACCCAAAGATAAATATATTGACTATATACTGTAAATAGCATCTGCCAGTTTATAACACTGTCAAACACACAATGGAAAGTTTAAGAAAAAGCCTAAAAACTGATGCAGCAGAAGCGGACCTATGCTGCTTCGGTTTTTCTTCAATGTCAAAGCCAAGGATGCATTGTTAACCCTCTGAACCCCAAAACCCATCAGCAGGTTATCTTTAAAAAAAGAAAAAAGAAAATTGCACCATATATCACAACCTGGACTATCAATGTATGATATGCAGTTCTGTCAGAAAACGTAACCAAATATAGGCTTAGAATCACCAATTAACCTCAACATGTTTTTGGACTGTGTGGGAGGAAGCCGGAGAACCCAGAGAGAACCCACGCTGCACGGGGAGAACATGCAAACTCCATGTAGAAAGATCCCGGGTATCCTCACCGGGACGCGAACCGGCGACCTTCTTGCTGCGAGGCAACGGTGCTAACCACCGAGCCACCTTTCAGCCCCATGACAAAAATGTTTCGACTAAACTTGGCAGAACTAGGCTGAGCTGCAGGCAGTGTATACATAGAGCAGAGGGGACACAAGTATGGAAACAGAAAAAAAGTAAGCTGTAAAATATCTATAATATGTAGAGACACCATTCTTTTCACAGTAGTGGTAACAACTGTGGATAATTGGAAAATGTTTTTACATTTTTGAAAAATAATCAAATAATCAGTTATTTCTCTTTAAGAAAAAAAAAAAAAAAAGATTTATAGCTTTTATATGGCGCAGAATACATTTTGAGTTCTCGCTACGTCTAGGCATACTTGTGCTGGTTCCACAGAGATACAGGATTATACCAAATTGAAAAATGAACATACAGTAAGTAAAATTGTGTCAGGAATGTGAGCAATATGACAAAGAAAATGGGCCCATTTATATACCGTATTACAACACAGCCTCATTTAGTTTTTTCCTATTAGCAGTAAGAAAGAAAATATAAGATTATTAGTAATATAGAAGAATTACACAACAAAAAAGTATTATTCATTTTCATTAGCTTTGAGCCACAAGTTTTAAGCAGACATTAAACTTGCAGCCTTCAGCCACAACCGACACTGAATCTCTTAAGGTAGTTGATCAGATTTCATGCAGCTCCCTCAGGTGTCACAACGACCTTACTTATACATGCAATAAAACTTCCCAAGATCTTTGTATAAACTTTAGTGTGTTAAATCGGTGCACTTTCCCATTAAATTTACAGCTGACAATACTGACTTTGGCAGTAGGAGAGAGAAGGTGTGAAGACAGGAAATGTTACGGCTAACCTTTTATAAAAGTAGGTTTTTGCTGTGCATGAGTGAACTGAAATAACCTGGAGCTTACTTGACATGAGCACATGGCTTACTGAAGCGAGCAGGATGCGGCTCAGTGATCTGGCACTCAAAAATGTAAAGCTGGCTAACGACCAATGCTAACAACGTAGCAGGAAGACAAACAGTGACAGTTCTGAGGACCCAACACTTAATAAACACTGTGCAGGAAACAAATTTATTAGCCACCTGTCACATGTCACAAAACTGGCACAGTGAATTAGATAACCCTGCAGGGCAACATGTTTCCCGATCCACTTCAGGTCAACATCACACCAACATCATCCTAAGAGAAGGTCATAAAAATAATCACTGGCCTTACAGGGGAAGGATTAAGAATGACAGACGTAGCGCAATAAGTTGACAGGATGTTCGGTAAATTGGTGTCGCCATAAAGCACTCATCACGTCTTCAAAACAGCTCCAGCTAAAAACCCCCACGACAGCTCTGAGCATCCATCTAAATAAGATCTCATTAAAAATGTTTTCGCCTCATTACTGAAAAATGGCCGCTTTGCACTCAGTGGCTCTCCTGAGGTATTTAGAGCCCTTGTGAGCCAACAGGGTGATTTCCTGTCAATGATGTGAGTAACTGTAAGTAAGTGACAGGCGAGGATAGGTTTCCACATCCGCGGTGAGGAGCGAACATGTCTGCTAATGGTGGGAGGACTGTGGGCAGAACTGGATGGACAAACTTGCTCTTACCCTGGTTAATGGCTCCCCGGGGAGGAGGGGAAATGACCGAGTGTATGCGGGATGTAATGTGTGTGTGGGTGCTTGTTGTATTTGTCAGCATGACAAGCATTTATGATTACACTTGATTTGGTGGGCAGAAGCTAAAAAAAACGTAAAAGAAGCTTGAAGATATGTGACCTGTCTGTCTTTTCTGTTATATTGACCATGTTTACGCTTTGGAAACAGTTTTCCAATCATATCTCTAAACCTGGAAATATCCTGATCAAAGTCAGAGTAGTATATGAAGAGGTACCCTTTAGGCATAATTTTCCTGAGGCATCCCTCCCCAGCAGCATTTTCCAGTCCGTCCTGGGAGATTCCAAGGTGTTCCCAGGCCATGAAGTTCTGGGTGTACCCAAGGTCTCCTCCCAGTAGAAGAACCTTTCAGTGAAGGTAATTAGGAGATCAGATGCCCAAACCACCTCAGCTGGCTCCTCCCAACATGAAGCAGCAACAGCTCTACTCCAAACCCCCTTGAGATGTCCGATCTCCTCCCCCTTTGTCTAAGGTTGAGCCAAGCTAACCCTATGAAGGAAACCATTTCAGCCCCTTGTATCTGCGATGTCATTCTTTTCTCACTCTCCAGAGCTCATGACTATTGGTGAGGGCTAAAACAAATGGCCTGCATTACTGCTGATGCTGCCCCTATCTGTTTGTCCATCTCATGATCCATTTTCAAGTTACTCGTGAACAAGACCGTGAGATACTTCTGGGGTTGCAACTTACTTCCAATCCAGGAGGAGCAATCCACTCGTTTCCAGGCAAAGAACCATGGCTTTGGACTTGGAGGTGCTGACTCTCATCCTGGCTTAGTTGCTGAAGGTCATCACCTGATGAAGCCATTGAGTCATCTGCAAAAAGTAGAGACGAGGTTGTCAAACTGCACACCTTCCTCACCCTTGAGATCCTGTCCATGAGAATCACAAACAGCATCGAAGACATGAGATTCCAAGATATAAAGTTATTTTTTGAAATTCATTTATTTTGTGAGTTCAGATTCAAGAACTAAACATATTTACTGCAATTTACTCCAAATATTAACCAATGCTCAATTTTAGAGAGTGGCTACACAGGTTGAAGCTGCAAATCTGCTTGTGCTGCTCGACAAAAGCACAGAAAATTATCCTCCGACTCTCCAGTTCTTTTCACCTCTACAGGGGTTTTTCATGTCTTTTAGTTACTTCTCTGGTTTGGCTCATTCTCACAACTCTTATTTGGGTCGTTGCCTCACTGGCGGCTCGGGAATTAGTCGAGCTAAAAGGAACATGAATATTGAGTTGATTTTTGGTGGCCGGAGTGCTTCATGTTTATTGGGTCTGGAAATTAACAATTATTTGCTTAAGTCATAAAACTGCCTCAGATGTTGTGTTTACCCCAAGTGACCAAAAACATATTTAACTAGCCCTTTCGTGCAATGCTGCTTTGTTTTCACATGTTGTGGAGACTCATAAAGATTTTTTCTCCTTGCCTGTTTGTCCTTCACAGTCCAGTACTCCTCAATGTTTCCCACAATTATTGGATCCTCCACGACCACTGATGTAGTCCCCACCGAGGACCCTGCAGACAGCACCACCACGACTAAAAACACTGACTCCCAGGAGCGGCTCTACCAGGGTCTGAACGATAAACTCATCCCCATCTACTGCTCCATCTTGGCAGCCGTCGTCGTCGGTCTTGTGGCCTTCATCATCTTTAAGAGGTAAGAACACAAGAGAGGTGAAATAGGAATCTGATTTCAAGCACATAGCAACAAAAATGACGCTTCGTGGTAAATGATGACATACTGATGGATTTTAGACCAAAACTCTGTTATGCTATCGATTTGACTTTTTTAAAATTATTGTTATTATTGTAGGCTATAAACATTCTTTATTCATTTAGCTTTGGTCCAAGGAAACAGAGCATCTATAAAAAGCAGTCACCCTACTTTCTGTGTTACTTTGTAGAAATCTGTTTTCACTTTGACACGAAAAATTCATGTAAAAAAAAAAAAAAAAAGCCAAGTTAAACTGACCATGATTAAAATTGAAAAGCAATGAAAGGGGGAAACTTCCAAAGGGGATGAATACTTTAGGGACCGTAAACTTTAAATTATGTATGGCAATGAATCTTGACTGGAACAAAAACAGCTCTTAAAAATAGGAAATGTAATGGTCTCCACTCAGATTACAAGAAAAGAAAATTTGAGAAAAGGACTAAAAATTATTAGTGTAATTAACATACATGTTATACTTTCTTCATTGTCTTGTGATCTCTAAGATTGAGCTTTAGACCCCATTTGTGACCCTGTATGATTTGACAACCGTTAGTATAAGGAGCCAATCGTACATCAAAAATAAAAATGTGAAATTCTGCTTATTACATGTACATTTGGACAACAAAATCCAAACAGACTCCAAATCTCTGCAGTTTCATATTTAATGAAATCATCTGCTGCTTTTCTGAGCACGCTGTTGTCCTGTGGGTGACAATATGGTCCATGTGCTTTCTTGCTAAATATTGAATATACAATATGTTTATTCCACTGTGCCGTATAGCAAGCCAAGTTTACATAATCACACACTTCAAGACAGATCCAAGGCCAAACTCTGAATCAGCAGTTTGACCAGCTGGTTAAAAGGCTGCTCTTCAGACTGCCCTTATTAACATCCTCAGGAAAGTCTGACGAATTCACCTCAGTTATACCCTATTTTCATTACCATATCGATTGTCTAATGTTCTTTTAAAGCTGGCGTCAGAGCACTATATTGCGGGTTGCTCATCTGTTCTTGGCAGAGCACCCAACCACAGTTCTTTATAAAGTTATACACCTACTCAGTAATTGTAATTATGTGGGTTAATTCCAAGGAAGTGTCTTCTATTTCTACGTCGAGCTTCTCTTTATCGTGATCTGAGCATACAGACATGTTAAATGCACGGTTGATTTTTATGTGAGGTGAGAGAATTCAGCCTTCTTGCCCAGTCAGTTAAAGGTTCATTTGGTAAAACCAGCAGATAAGACTGACAAAATCCATCAGGTGGAGTTTGCAGTCAGCTGTGTTATTGCATGGTCCAAATCTTTGTCAAAGGTTTAAATTTTCAGTGTGCAAGTTACAAGTTCAGAGGTATTTGTTTGGTAAGGGGAGTGAAAAGCTGTGTGAAATGAATAAACCTAAAGTATAGATCTAGTGAGTCAGATTAAGTTGCACCTAATGGTGACTCAGCAAAACTCAAGGAAGCCACAACTCCCTGTCCAAGTGGGGTGAGAGAATCTACAGTGGCTGTCAACTCACATGTCTGCAGAAACATGGCGTTCTAACAACTCCACGGAAGAGAACCCGCTCAAGTCGTAGTTACAGGTGTTTAAACAATAATGAAAACTCAAATTGCATTTCTGCTAATATATCCACTGATATGCTACACACTGGTTCTTTAACTAAGATGACAACACTATTGTGCGGATTTTCAATAGTGGTGAACAGTGATGGATTCTGCAACTTTTTTTCTCATCTTTTTCGTGTCATTCTCGTTCAGGTGGAACAGCTGTAAGCAGAACAAGCAAGGAGCCAACAACTGCACAGCCAACCAGAACCAGACACCATCACCTGAGGGGGAGAAGCTGCACAGCGACAGCGGCATTTCTGTGGACAGCCAGAGTCTGCAGGAGCAGCAGGGCCAGACTCAGGCGCAAACAGGTAACACCGACACACACAACACCCACAATACACCTGCATGCTGCTCCTGTAATAATCAAAACACAAAAACCCTCATTTATCAAACTATTGGGCCAAAATTGCGTGCAAGCAACACAAAAGTCAGCATTTATCTTGTACTGAATTCCTCCAGTAATGAGTTTCTTCTAATCCACGAATAAGCCTGATGGATAGCAAACCTGAATTTTAGGTTTCAATGAATGTATGTAAACTGCGGGCTGTAGCCTGAACTGTCCCACCGTGTCAGTCAAAAGAATAGAATTTCCCCTCAGGAATGAGCTGCCTCCTGGCTTCATCGGCTCCACCTTGACTATGACCTTTCAAACTTACTGTAGCAAATCAGCAAACAAGGATTACAACAGTGACGGAGCCTTCGGTGTTTGTTTTCTTTGCGGCAGCACGTGCTGCTGCTAGTTTCCAGTCCTGTCCCGACAAACCAGTTTCAAAGAATTCAGGACTTTTAAAAACACAGGTCTACCGAGATAATGGTAAAGGGAAACAAACAAAGTAGTGCAAACAGGGGAAATAGTGTTCAGACAGAAGTCCTGTCTCTAGGTCTGTAATCTTAACGCTGCAACGATAGATGCTGTTGACTGCTGACAGTCAGACGTAACGCCCAAAGAAGCCTCTTTAACTTTGATTTTCTATCATGATGTTTTAATGGAACCACAAGCTATTGGCGCTCTTGCAAAGCAGCTGTGCAGCACTTTCCAAAACAAACCAGTGTATCACTACATCTTTAATAGTGTTTGCAGCCAATTGAAAAGCTCATGAAGATGTTGTAAGTTGAATCTTTATCGCAATACATTAGTCAGTCATAATACAGTAAAAACTTATGTACAATATGGAGGGTTTCTCAGAAAATTTCTATTATGTAAATCAAGTCATTCATTTATGAGAGAATTCAACATCTGGTAAAAGTTCAACATAGTGACACGAATGATTTCTGACAGAGAAATTAGTTTTGTTTAATGAAATCATCCATACAACCTATTTTGAGCTGGGGTTGTCCAATGAGAGAAGTTTCAGTCATTTGCATGAATACACCGTGTCCACAGGTCCACAAAACTAAATTCAATGCAAACCAAACAGAAAAATGGCATAAAGTCAAGTTAACTTCTACACTTGATTCAGATGGGACCAGAGTAGATTTCCAGATGTTTGGTTGACCTCTGTCAATAGATTTCCTATCTGATTACTGTATGTGTGAGCTGAAATAAACATAAAAGAATTGAAAGAGATCTAGAAAAACATCTGACCCATCACTGCATGTATATGACTGCATAAATATGAAGAAGTTATTTGTGACTGGTGGCCAAACATGTAGGCAAGGCATGATAGAATCACTTGCTGCTGGAGTTAAAGGCGTTTTTTTTCGTTGCTTCTGCAGTTGTCACCATGGATGAAGAGCCTTGCTTGCTGCTTCCTCTCCACACTAGAGAGAAAGTAGAGAAGCTGCTGTTCAGAGGCAGCGAGGGAGAAAACTGCAACCACATGCACGACAGCGACTGGTGCAACCTGGCAGGTCTCCTCGGGTACGAGGAGGAGCGCATCGCCACCTTCCGGCAGGAGGAGCATCCTGTTCGTGCGCTCCTGTCCGACTGGGCGAGCAAGGACTGCGCCAGCATCGACACACTGTGCACGGCGCTGCGCAAGATCAACCGTGACGACATCGCGCAGAGTCTGGTGCTCAGCCCGAGTGCCGCGAAGCCGACCGCCACCTCTGTGGTGTGATTTTGAACTGTGAGCAAAACTTTAACACCTGAACCTTAAACTTTACAATATTCTAGAATCGCTTGAAACTATTCCCCCATGAAGCCACCGATGACGAAATCCGACAAACCACGTTCAATCAGGGGAGAAGGCAAGAAATCAGACACTGAAAGAATATCAATATACATAATCAAAACAACGCGAGGTAAACCAGAACCCTTTACCGAACCGTCAGGATGTCCTTGCCTCCGTTTATTCTCACATTTTAAAATCCACACAAAGAAGCAAACATCACGATAATCATTCCATTTGGAGCTGGGATATCTACCTGCCTTTCCACACTATTTGACAGTCAGCTGATCTAATTAACAGCGGAGCAGCAGTGGGCTGACGTTATCGTAGATACCTGGCTCCCTCTTTCATTCCTCCAACTTCATCCTCTGCATCTATATCATCAACATCTCTAAACATTCATAGCCAGTGTGGCCCTTACTAACAGCCTTCTTAAGCCTGTGTTGTACTTCTAAATGTTTAAAACGCTACCAAAGAGGAATGTTTTCAGACCATACCTGAGATTACTTACATGCCACGTTAGACTGTCTGAATTCAAGATAACAAACGGCTCGCGTCTGTCGCTGCTGCTGGATGACGCCTGCATACATCAGACTGTCTCTACAACTATGGCAACCTGAGGAAGGATGCTTGGACACATTTCAAATGTAACAAAGGCCACGTCCAGCTATTTACTCTTACTTTAAATATTTGTATTAGATTTAAGACGTGGAGCAGCAGCGCACGTGGACTTTATCTCAACTTCAGCTTCGTCTTAAGTGATTCCTGCAAATGCTTCCTTTTTTCCAACAAGTGCTATAAGAACTGCTGGCTGGACTTTGCCAACTAGGTGGTCTGTGGGGCAGCGAGGCAACATGACTCCAGTCTATGTGCTCGGGCCTATCTGCATAACACAGAAGCTCGCACACAGACTCCTTCATACTGACCCAGAAAAGGGAAGGAACGTGGAACTTAAGTTACCCAGTGACAACCATGTATACTATATGTACATAGTGAGACAAGTGCACACACCAAATACAGACATACATATAAATACACACCTACAGTATGTAGCCATGCATGCATGTACTGTACTATCCAAACACAGACACACACACACACACACACACGTATGCATTTACATTCTTATTCATTGTAGAGGACACAGAAAACTTCACATCCTGCCATGTATGGTACGGAGCACTCTCATGAGGGGACCATATACTGTTTATTGTCCATATTAGTCGCCAATATAACGTTACTCTGTGTCTACTTATGTCTAAAACCATATGATTTGAAATGTGTGCTGTAGACGGTGAATTGCTATCTTGACAGTAAACAGCATGCAGAATCTAGCAACTCATTGTCAGCCAGTGCACAGAATTTTAAGTTTAAAAAAAACAAAAAAACCCACAAACTGTAGCAAACGATCAGGATGCAAACAACTATCCAGGGTTTTAAATCTTTTTTGCTTGATTTCTCAGGGCCTCTCGAATGATCGTGTCAATACACAAATATTACACCTAATATTGCACCATCTATGATTAACCGAACAATCTGTAATTGTTCAAAAGCCACTGTGTTTTTCCAAAGCAGCGACTCTTGCGACTGACAATCCTTCAAACAGATGAATAAGAGAGAGAAACGGGCCACAGAAAAGAAAGGTGGTGTCTTGTTTCTTCTTTGTTTGGAACAATGACCTCTGAATAAAAGGCCAGTCAGTGGAGACATAAGTCCGAAAGGATGTGAGATGAATTCAGACAAGGGAGCCGGAAGAGTTTTGGATTACTTCAATGTAAAGGTAAAACCCAGGAATCTGCATTTACATTAATCAGCTTGTTTAAGTGTAAGCATGTGTTCCTCTCCTCATGGCAGACTGTGCTTTCTACATCGTGCTGTGTTGCACCTACTTGGTTTATCAAAGCATCTTCAGCAGTGTTAGCGTTGACACCATTATGCTGACAACTAAGGACCTACAGGTTCTACACTTTTTGTTTTTCTTCACTGTTAATGGAAACATATTGAAGGATGAAGTAGTTTTCTATGTTAAACTTGATCTATATCACCAACTCCAGCTGTTACTCTTGAGTACAGGTTGCCACTAACCACTAGCAAACTGAGCTTCATGCTGTAGTGTTACTTTAAATGAAGGTATTCTTACTACTCTATAAGGGTTGTTTGTATTTTAATTCCCAAATAACAACTGTAAATGGTATTTTTTTCTGTTTTTGTCTTACATTGGAGCACTTAAATGTGTAATTATGTGTCTTTTTTGCATCACAAGTGCCTGGGAACTATTTCAGGTGTCTGCTGATGTTGTACATTGTTTGTTTTTAGCTGTTTTGTAAGAATATCTTTTTTTTTATTTCCTGTTAACTTGTAAATAATTTGTCTTTTTTTTATTTTTTAGATTTTATTTTAGTTAAAGCCTTGAAGGCGCCACTGTACAGTATCTACGTAAACAGGCCTTTGTTACACTCTCAGTACTGTCAAGGAAAGAAGGGCAAAGGGAAGAGCGTTCACCATCAGGTGTTTTTAGATAATGGGTCATTAACAAAACTCAATTTAAGATAGCTTTAAGATTAATCAGATATGGAAAAACTCTAAGTTTGTATTTAAAAAGCACCATGTGAGTAGAAATCAAATTCAGTCAGAAACATTACACTTTGATTTCAGTGCGTATATTTTAAGTCAACCTCTTTCACATAGTTTGACATTTTGGGAAACACATTTATTTGCTTTCTAGCTGAGGGTTACGTTCAAAGAGCAATGCTGCTGTCATTTCTATCTAATAAATGAAGCTGTAACTAAGTCTGGAAACAGTTAGCCCCTGAAAAATGTATAAAAATGACCAGTTGTGGTCGAGGGCTACAAGGACGACGGGCCCTTTCAGACAGAATGCGCTCTGAAACCTGTCATTTTCAATAGTTTGCACTACACAACCACGGTTTGTTGCTGCGCTGAGCAGCTAAAAGCTTAGACAGGTCAACTTTGGCTGCAAATATTTGTCACACTGACAAATGCTAAAGCAACCAGCAGAACCAAGACCTCCAGCCGGGCGTGGAAGGCAAAATGTAGGAAAAGCTGATGTATGCCTGAATTCCCCCGATTATACCACACAAGTCTACATTTGTAATGAGACCTCAGGAAACAGGTTTCTGTCCAAGTAGGCTTATCAGGTGTGTTTTAATCCCATTATGTACAGTCAATGGTTTTAATAGTCAGCTTGGTTTATGTGTTCCCTCTGAAAGCTTTACAGACCCATTAAAGCTTCTTAATTGGGGTAATGAGGTTTAATTTCCATTCAGAATAATTTATTGATTTAGTTACGTGGTCTTGGAAGAAGTTTTGAAAACTCCACCTATTTTGCAGTGTGCTCAACATAGTGACGGCCACAAACCGTGCTGTGTCTAAACGGGCCTTATTTCCACCATTACCTTCAGATAGAGCCCAGCTAGCTGCTTCCTCTTCTCTATTTTAACGTAAACTAAGTGGCTGCTGGCATGATACGACAGGATCCTCAATTGTCTTTTCTTCAAATAAGCGTATTTCCCAAAATATCGGACTGAAACACCCCAATAAATTTCTACATTTGAGTATCATTTTCAGCAGATGACAGTCCTATCAGTCACTCTTCATACAGACGGTATCACGTGTCTGTAGCATGCAACACATTTCAACATACTTCTTTAACAAACATGTTGCAGGTTGCCTTGTAGGTTAAAAGATCCACCTTCTTGTGAATGTCCAAAAAATTTGCACCAGCATGATTTTAAGTTGCTTATCTGCTAGTTGAAGCTCTGTGCCTTGGACCTGATGAGCTTTTGTGACCGATAACAGAACGAACAATCACATAAAATCATGTTACTCTGTGTTACCGGACGCTTGACACACTGCAGGGCTTCTTCTCCACTTTGGTTTTATGATGCCCCAGATGATTATTTTGGTTAATGGTTGTGTTCAATAATCTCCATCACTGCAGAATGACCTTCCCTGAAAGCCCTCAGTTCATTGCACCATGGGACAGTAAACGCGATCTCTTTAGGGTCTGTCCTCCTGTCAGAAACTGCAGCTCAACACGGAGGCTTTTCTTCGGACAGTATTTCTTTAGTCTTAGAGATTTAATTGAGTAACAGACATCGATTTGCTTGTACAATGAACCGATTTGAAGGTGAACGTGTCGTGATATTGCACTTGGGAGACAAAATACAAAGTAATCCTGCAAATTGGGGTTGGGCTCAGGGGTGGGAGGTAAAAGACTGTCTTCAGAGGGTGTGGTTTTAGGAAAAGCCCTGGTGATGTAGCTCACAGTGGCACGAATGACAGTGCACCAGGACTGAAGTGTACAGATGTGAGAAACACTGAATGTTCCTTGTATACTAATACATATACTGTTCTATACTTAATGTGAATTTGCTAAATTCCTACAGCAGACAAGCAGTAAAATGAATAATAAAGCTCTTGAATCCAATCATTCTCTCTATTGATCCAACAACACACAAATATGCATGAGTATGGAAACACAAAGTGGTCAATAAACACATGAGACATGAAGGTGAATAAATAGTAAAGTGTTTAGATCAGCTAATAAATTCTGAAATAATACATCAAATTGTTAAAATGTATTATAATGAAATGTTGCTTATTCATTCTTAGTTTGTGTTACTGGAATATTCATTTAATCACATATTTTAAATTCAAGATGGTAGTTTTAATTTTGTGTTTTTTTATATATATAAAGTCACATTTTTATTATTCGGTGGTTATCTAACAATGGGATCACCACTTCTTTACTTTTAATGTTTTTTTAAACAACAAAATACGAACAATAGCTAATATTTTCAAGCTCGCACAGCAGTCTTGCTAGCTAGCCATGAAATAATGACTTGTGAAATATTGTTTGATACTGAAGCTAGAATAAAAGTAAAAAGGTTCACTGAGGGTGAAGTGGATGGAAGGATGGTGTTGAACATGTCGAGGCAGTTTTAGATGCTGAAATCATTTTTCCAGAAGAATATAAGAGAGAACCTGTGAGCATGAGTGTTCCTGGCCACAGAAGGAGCAGTTAAAAGGTAAGAACAAAAACTCCAACGAGTGACATGAGGGAGAATCAGTCGGTACACTACCAGACACGGTTATCTGACAATCTGGCGAGGCGTGACTTCAGGGCCGGTGCCTTCATAATGTGGAGGACGATCGGTGGATCAGGATCAGGTGAGTTTGACAGCTGAATGCAGCGCAGGTGATGAAGCAGCCAGCCGGAGGAGGGACACACCTCCAGAAGAGCGGTGAGAGGGGGAGGGAGGCAAGGAGAGCAGAAAAGAGACACAAAACACTCTTTAAATACAGACATCACAGCAGTTATCACGACCAACATTATATCCTACAATATTATAGAAACTGATACACACATTTATCAGACTAATTATTAATAAAAAATATTATATACTTACAAATTACCTGAATAATGTTGATGTTTTTAGGTTACATTATATGTGGAAAACCCAACAAGTCCAAGGATTCACTATGAGCAGCACATTGGTGACGTTGGAGAGAACCTCCAGCAGAACCAGACTGAGGAAAGACATCTGCCCCGACTGGTTAGAGTGAAGGAAGAGAAAAGAATAGCAGAAAGAAACAGACAACAAACTGAAGAACATAAACACTGGACAGGTTGGTGTAGCTGATATAACAAGATAGAGGGCTAACTACAGCTTTAAGCTAAATAAATGGTTACTAGCTGTGTCTGTATATTGTGTTCATTCACAGCAGCTGTGTTTAGTTGGTGGATTCAAAATTCAGGAGAAATTTGACATGAGAAGTCCATTTATGGATGAAAAAATAAATAAATCTTAGCAGTAAAATGATTAATGTGAAAATTGCAATGATTCAATAACATTTAAGAAACAATAAATAAATTCTTTGATGATTTACAATTTGTTGGCAAGTTTCGATCCCAACATTTGGGGCTCCACATGTACAGTCACAGCCTGGTTTGATCCTGAAACAAGTTTTTTTTTTTTTTTCCTTCTTGTATTTTGCCTCAGGATTGAGAAGGTCTGTGCATTTTCCCCTCAAGAGTCTCTAAAGTCCTTCTGACATGTAACTGAAGCCAAATGAGACAGACTGATTACTGGAGGCTTCAACAGTTTCAGCACAGTGAGTGAAGAAAAGAGGAAAAGAGGGGCTTAAAAGGGGGCAAAAGCAAAGAGGGCAGGATGGACCAGTTCCTCTTTAGTTTCATCAAACTGTCTGCATGAATTATGGCGCATTGCGTGTGGTCACTGTAGAAATGGTAACACCGCACTAGCATAACAGATAGCATCAGCCTGTCAACACAATGAAACTTATTTTGGTGAGTGATATGGTGATATAATAGTGCATGAAATAACATGTGCCTGCATGCTGGCTCCCACTGGCTTCATATTTTTATGTCACTGTGGACTTCACTCAGTGGTCGTGTTACAAGTGTGAAAACACTCTGATGGATTAGTGTAGTTTACAGTCAAAACAATTGTTTTTGGAGGAATTCACACATGTGCTATAAAAACTTAACTCATTGTCCACAGATTTTACAACAACATGACGTGACACGACACAATAACAAATTAAAATGACACTTGAGAGCCATTTACACAATACACATATTGATATATGTGTATGTTTACATAGAGCAGATAGCTGTATTAGCTGCATGTTGTGTACTATCTGTACAAAGATAATTAATCTAATATGTCAAAGATAATTCATCCAATATTTCAAGTTCCGAGGCCTTTCTTAGGTAGAATTGTAATGCTTATTTGCATAATATTAAGTGGAAAGTATATTAAGCATTCAGCAGTAATACATATGTACATATTAGAATTTATATGTAAAACATTTCTTCTTTCTTGTGTGTCAGTAAAAAATTACATCCAAATTGTCAAATATTCCGCTTTTAAAAAGACAAACCACCCACAACCTTCTCCTCTGACATCCCCAATCCAATTAAAGTCGATGTAACCGTCTTTACTCAGCGTCTGCTTCTGCTTCTGCTTATTCAGATCAGAAATGGCATCAGCAGGTTCTGAGACGGTGCCAGTACCCTGTATCAGTTTCTAAGTGAACCAGGGTTCAAATGGAAAACACATTGCCGGGCTGACTGCCGCTAACCTCCAGTGAGTCGTTAGCGAGGAATGCTGGATGTGTGAAGAGAACCATGTGTGCACAAGTGACATGTGGTGGTGAAAGAGGATCAGCCACGTTGAGTTTAGGTGACCGGTTTGAGTTTTGGCGTGAAGAAATGCTGCAGTCGGCTCTGTAGGCGCACCACTTATAATCTGTTTATGTATTAACATCTTGATGAAAACTTACAGGAGCTCCTCTTAAGGGCTCACCCCCCTATGTGGTTTATGTCACAGAAAGATGGACCTGACAGCTTCTGAAATTTTGCAACATGTGAAGTTTAAACATTCAGCTTCCATTTAAAAAAATGCAGCTTTAATGATTGGGTGGAAAAAATGAAGGAAAAAAACCGAGATGAGAAATCTGTCTTGCAACAGAAGCAGCAGGTAGATCAAAGTGTCCTTATAGAAAGCTATAAATAAGAATCAAACAGGAAAAGAAAGGAGCAATTAATTCAGTTACAGGTGTGGGAACATAAGAAGGTGATGAACTTGTGCGGTTTACTCGGCTAAATTACAACATGTTACGGTCAGTTTTATGGCTGAACCTCAGCGTGACCTAAGAATAGCATGCTTATTTATTCTACAAATCACCTCTGGGATGAAACGAGAACGTGGAAACGAGACTCCCTCAGGACTGCAGAGAAATGGGAAGTTGTGAGACCTTTGCATCCAACAGAACCTGTCCACAGGTCTGCAGAAAGAAAAAAGCAACAACAGCAGAACAATAATAATCCCTGAAGAACGATGATATCTGTGGGGAACAAAAAAAGGATTCAATCACTTAGGTTGGTGAGCAGGTGATAAAATATACTGATCCAGCCTTCAAGCAATAGTTAATTTGCTTTCTTGCTAGTTAGCTTAGCTTAAGCTTGTTAGCTTAGCTTAGCTTACAACAAATTTGTGCAAAGCATGTGTAAAGCTCACAATCAAACACTATTTTCATTTTTTTTCTACAGATCAGTGAGCATTCAAAGCTGGCTGGACCCTAAATCTAAATGTAAAAAAACAAATATTTGCCTGGGAAGCAGATTTAATAACTTAAAATTTAAGGTTATTTGTATTTTAGACGCTCATTTCTTTAACACACTGTTATCAGAGAGCTTTTCCTGATTTTATTCAGTTTTAAGTCATGTTTTGTGGCTTCTTGCTCTATTTGTGTGCTTTTTATTTTGCTGTGGGTTTATTTAATTTAAATTTTAATTTATTTCATTGGAAACCAACTCATAACATTTGTTCTGAAAAGTGTTGTAAATAAAAGTTATTATTTTTATTATAGACTGACATGAATGATCAAGTAGATTTTTAAATGTTTTTAAAATCATCTCTAACCATTAAAATTATGAAAAAACAATCTAATCTATATTTAATCTAGACGTCACTAAAATGTAGAAAATCTCGCATTTATTTGCCTACAACACAGAATATCTCTATAAAACTCTCTCAGCATGCTGCTCCTGAAACATTCATGCTATTTTTGCTCAGAATCTGTACACGGCCCACGAAATGTCTTCACGATCAATTTCAAGTATTTAACCCCAATTACGAAGCCTTCACGCCTTTTGTGCCCCGTACCATACAAGCTAACACAACCTTCTTTAAAAATGCAGTCACTGAGCTGAAAGGTCAAAGGTCAGAAGCGGCTTCATTTTTACGACCAAGCGACAAACATCTCAGCAGACGTTCATGATGATGAACGACTGACTGTAACAAGTCTGCCCGTCATTCCAGACGAGGGCACACGTGTTCTCTTTGGTCACGCTGGACCGAAACAGGAGATCAAACACAAGGCGTCGCTGGGTGGGACAGTAGAGAGGAGGTGACTGATCTCCTCTGAGGTCAGAGGTCAGTGTGTGACAAGGTAATAGAGGTGGAGCAGGCTTTTTGTCTTTCTAATTTACAAATGAGTGCGAATTGGAGGATCGGTTTCAATTTGTGTCCTGTTTTGTAAACAATACATAAAAGGACGGTTTGAAACACAGTCCTCCAAACATATCAAATGAATTCAGACAGTTTCTCCTTTAACATGGACGCGTTAACCCTCTGAACCCAAAGCAGTCGCACCACATTTTTTTTGCTTCTGTCCTCAAGCATTTTTCACTGCAATGTAAAGTCCTGCACCGAGTTTTCATAGGTGTTGAAAATACAGGAGAAAAAAACAATGACTCTACATACTATAGATGTTTTACTGCTCACATTCCTAACAACCTTTATAAACCAGGCGTTTTTCAAACTTTGCACATCAACTCTAAGAAAGATATAGCGTCATGCTGAATGTGTCTTTCAACAACGTGCTCCTCTGTGGACC